GCAAGGCAAGCACCCTTGCCCACCGTACAATCGCTCTGATCCAGGAAACTCAGCTTTGAGCCCCTTGCCGGGCTGGTGAATCTCGGGGCAGCCCCTGCCGCGGTCGGGGAAGAGCTCCTGGCAGCCCAGCTTCTCTCCTCACCTCACCCCTGCGCCTAAGGCAGATTCACGAGGAAGCTGGGGCAGGGGAGGGGCATGAGCGCATGCCAGGCCTTCATCGGCGCCCAGCTGGAGCAGCGGGTGGCAGAGACGTGACTCCCACACCCTCCAGTGTTGGGGGAAGAATCTGGCGGCTTGATGACTCCTCCAACCCCTATCCCCACCCCCGCAAACAGCTAGTTCTAATGTTTTCCATCATCTCCAAACTTCTGATCTCCACATCCAGTTTCAGTGAAACTCTGAGTGTTTCTGCCCGGGGAGAGCTGTGGGGGTTAGGAGGGCTGGGGGTGGGGGGGGGTTGAGGTTTGTGTGATGGGGGAGGTGCTCCTGTCCACATTTAGGGCAGCATGAGGGTGGGGGTTTTGCAAAGCAGAGATGACAGGCCACAGGGGGCGTGTGAAGTCACAGGCAGTTGGAGGGTGACTAGATTTGGGGAGACGCCTAAGCATCCTTGTGCTCCTCAAGCACGGAAGCTCTGTGGGGTCCCTCTCCGTGAGAACCGGGCCCCCAAGGCTGCTCTCTGGATCACAACAGGAAGAGGGTCTCCCAAACTTAGTGAAGCTGGGGAGAGAAGAGTTCCAAAGGGTCAGGAGGAAGACCTCAATGCACCTGACAAGGAGGAGGTCCCAGGGTACACGAACAGCCACCCTGGCTGACCGTGTCCTCTGGGCTCTTGTCCCCTAAAAGTCCTTCTTTATCTCTCCTGGATTTTCTGCTCTTCTCTGTCCCCAAACAGCCCCTTTGCAGATTGGAATGTCCAGGTTTCTCTGGTCACTATCTGATGTGCTGCTCTGAGATCTCTTGAGAAATCACATCAATGGCAGCTATAATACATGCCAGGTGACACCCAGTCAAGTGACTACAGAAGTGTAAGAGAGAAGCAAGACCCAGCCGGAGAAACGGACCGTGGGATAGTTCGTGCATGTGGCTGATGATTCCTGGTACTCCACAGGATCCTCCGAGCCCTGCCAGGAGTGATAACTAAGCACAGAGTCAGGAGTAGGCTCTGAGCACAGCTGGGGGTGTCCCCCACCACCAAAGAAAAGAGAGCAGGAACCTGCCCTCATGCTGTGCTAATCGCTCAGCACACACCTCTCGCTCTCTCTCTCCCTCTCCCCTGTGAGAGCACACTCATCTCCCAGTCCTGCAAATGATTCATTTTCTAATATCTTGTGGGCATTTTTCCAAATGAGCACCCTCCCTCCCGCCCCTTTTACGCACGCAACACACTTTCCACATCGGACACAGCAGGGGCCCACGGATTAGAGAACAACCGTTGTCAGTCTCGAGCGGAACTTCTACTTTCCAGCAGCCGCCTTGGAAGAAAGGAAAGAAAACAAGTGGAATTCATCTTCATTTTTGTTCTATGGAACCCAATCTGTTTGAAAACAATCACACCTTGATGTGCAAACAATATAAACTCAGCAATAATGTCTTTTGCATTGTTTTATTTATTTATTATTTTTTGCTTTTTCGGTCACACCCGGTGATGCTCAGGGGTTCCTCTTGGCTCTGCACTCAGGAATTACTCCTGGAGGTGCTTGGGGGACCGAATGGGATGCCAGGGATCAAACTCAAGGTGGCTGCATGCAAGGCAAACACCCTATCCGCTGTACTATTGCTCCGGCCCTTGCATTTTTTTTAAAAATCCGAAATCCTTGGGACCAGGAAGTCGTCCTGAGCTAGGACACATCTTGGGCACGGGTTTGGGTCCCAGCACCCTGTGGTCCTCCCAGCATCACCACGGGTAGCCCTGGAGGCCCCAGCACCCCCGGGGGATCCAGGTAATCCCCAGCACTGTAGCACCTGAGCAGTTTCTCATCCTGGGGTCCTCATGTTGAACCACCAGTCCAGTTGGCCAGATCCATCAGTAAGAAGCCTACGGGTTCCTCAGCACTGCTTGGGAGGTTTCAGGGATCAAAGCAAGCAGCTGCCATCCCTGAAGCCCGGAGTGCATTCGACACCGACAGCTCAGCTCTATTTGGACTGTCCCATTTCTGATGTGGAGTCACCTCCTATTGGCCAGTGAGTGCCGAGCTGGCCACCAGGCTTCACGGGGTCCTACTGGATGGTGTTTGTACCAACAGGAAGGAGCCGTGTCCCATTTGCCGGGCTAAGCAGAGCGGCATTGAGCATTCGCATGCTTGTCACGTTTACCCCTGCCTGTGACGCCTCCTGTAGATTTATAGAAGTGAGGTTTTTAGGTCAGAGAGTTTATGCATTTTATAGTGTAATAGAGAAAGCTAAATTACTCTCTAATAAGGCTAAACCAATTTCTACTTCCACCGACAGTCCATAAGATGCTGCTCCTCTCCCTGCTCCCGCAGACGGGATGCCGCCCCTCAGTAAACACACACACTCTCTCTCTCTCTCTCTCTCTCTCTCTCTCTCTGTGTGTGTGTGTCCTCTGGTGTCTGTGTGCTCACTCAGGACCTGCATCGCACTAGGAGACACCCCCAGCCCCTGGCCACAGAGGATGTATGTGGCCGTGGTCACGACAAAACCCAGTGACCAATGGTGCAGATAAACGAGAGATTGCTTCCTCCTAGTAAAGAAGTCTGGAGTGGGGTGGGGACAGGGTTCCCTTTCCACCTGCAGGATCTGATGGTCCCCTCAGCACGGCTTGGAGGCTCTCCCCAAGCAATGCACCAGGAGTAGCCCCTGGCACGACCAGCTGTGACAGAAACCAACCAAATCAACCAACCAACCAACCAACCAACCAATAAATTAAGTTGGGAGTGAACAAAGGCGACTTGGGCCTGTTGACCCAATGACCCAGGAAGCCTGCAAGGTTCTTTCCATATTTCTGATTCGATATATCGGCAGGTGGACTCTTATCTCCTCATGATTGCCATCCTCTGTGCCCAGGAGGCCAGCATCCCTGCAGATAGCAGGTCTGTGCCCCAGGCAAGAAGGTGGGGGGTGGAGGGGCAGTAGCTACTTCTTACCCAGAAGCCACTCAGACGGTTTGTATCTCATTGGTCAGAACTGGATCACGTGGTAAGCCCAGCTGCAAGGGAGACTGGGAAAAAGAAGGTGACCAGGAAAAGTGGGATTGGCATTGGCTGATGGGTTAGCCAGAAGCAGCCCTGCCACCCTTCTGTCCGCAGCTTAGCCTAAAGCTTTACGATGAAGAACCCCAGGGCCACCCCTTTCTGATCTGTAGTCTCTGGCTGGTCCTGCCAGTCTCTGCAGAGACTGGGGAAAAGAAACTTCTAGAGAGAAGCCTTTTCTGACAGCATCTGGTGATTCCCCCTCACCTCTTGGGGGTTTATGCCTCACTGGAGGGAGATGTTCTCGGTTTCAGAGGATGGGAGATGGGCACACCAGACATGGGTGCTCCGTGACATGACAAAGACTGACTCGCAGAGAGTTCCTGTCGTTCTCTCAGCTGATCCCCGGGAGAGGCCTGTGCTGGTGGCCAGGCTGACCACTCACAGCCCCGGACACTCTGAATTCTGCCCCCAGTCCCCTGAGTGAGTGATATGGATGCTCACAAGAGGACCACAGCAAGTGGACCCCCTGTGACAGACCCCAAGCCAGAGGCCACACCTGGCCGAATCATTCCAGACCGCCAAGGAGATCTCAATGCAGGCTCTTGTCCTAGCTCCTCAAGTGCTGGGGTAATTTTTAAGGCAACAGCTAGAATTGATGAAAATTTACTGTTGAAAGTCTTGAGAGGGGGCTGGAGCCATAGTACAGCGGAGGGGCATTTGTCTTGCATGCAGGTGACCCACATTTAATCCCCGGCATCCCATACAGTCCTCTGAGAACTGCCAGGAGTAATTTCTGAGTGCACAGCCAGGAGGGACCCTTGAGCATAGCTGGGTGTGCTCCCTCCCCCCCCCCAAAAAAAAAAACAAAAGAAAAAAAAGAAAAAGAAAATGCTGAAGGCATCTACCTGAAATATGTTTGACAGTCTTTTTTGTTTTTGTTTTTGTTTTACATTTTGGGTCACACCCTTTGATGCTCAGGGGTTACTCCTGGCTCTGCACCCAGAAATTGCTCCTAGCACTGCTTGGAGACCACATGGGATGCCAGGAATTGAACCCAGGTTGACTGTGTACAGAGCAAGCATCTTACCTGCTGTACTATTGCTCCTGACCCTCTGCTTTACTTTCCTGCTTCCAGAACACGAGAATGACTGGCAGCCCCAGGGCCCAAGCGTTCTTGCAAACCGCAAACCTTTCCTTTCTCTTCACATTTCTGATGAACTTCCAGGATGGTGATACTGCCAATGTTCTCTGGACTCTCCCTTCCTCAGGGCTGCTCTGGGGATCATCTCTGCCTCTCACCAGAGCAGGGGAGATGGAGCTTTATAGCTCACCTTTGGGAGCTGACACTGAGCACACCCAGTACTCCCAAAGGACTGCAGGGAGCCTGCCCACTCCTTACCCAGGCCTGGTGGGCTCTGGGCTTGCCAGGAGGCTTCAGCCCTCCAATCTCACCGGACGAATAATTCAACTTAAAGTTCATCTTTTCTTTTTCTTTTTCGCATCATACCCTGCGACACTCAGGATCACTCCTGGCTCTGCACTCAGGAATTACTCCTGGTAGTCCTCAGGGGACCCTATGGGATGCCAGGGATTGAACCCGGATCAGCCCCGTGCAAAGCCAATGCCCTCCCCACTGTACTATCGCCATCATCAGTATTTTTTTTATTTATTCATTTATTTGCTTTTTGGGTCACACCTGGCAATGAACAGGGGTTACTCCTGGCTCATGCACTCAGAAATTACACCTGGCAGTGCTCGGGGGACCATATGGGATGCTGGGAATCCAACCCGGGTCGGCCACATGCAAGGCAAAGCTCCTATCTGCTGTGCTATTGCTCCAGCCCCAATCATCATCAGTATTTCTAAGACCAGAACTAGGTAGGTCAAGGATGAGGCCTGGGGACACATACACAGTCTTATTACAGTGGGTGTTTAGCCTGTCCTGGTGATTGCAAAATCACAACAGCAAGAATCCCCTAAGTCTGCCTATGTCATGCCTCCTGGACGCAGTGGGAAGCAGAGGGGTTTCATTGGTGGTCTCCATCCCCTCAAGTCAACACACCGTGTCTCGGAGCTCTTTCAGAGGGAGTCAAAGCAAGTTTGTTTTGTTAAAGTTTGACTGATGAAGTTATATTTCTTTCCAGTGTACGGCAATGGAGTTTGACCCGTATAGGCTGGACAAGTTCTGACAGGACCCCTTAGCCATTGTTGGGGCCAGATGGGGGAGCCCACGGGGTGAGGCTGGAGCATGTGCATCTCTTGTACCCTTGGGTTTCTCGTGTGTGACACAGTCCGTGTCTCTCTTGTGTCAAAGACAGTGATTCCCATTCCCACCCCCAACTTCCTTGGAGGGCTTGGACCCGGGGGGGGGGGGGGAGAGGGGGGGAGTCCGCCCTTCCCTTTAGGAGCCCAGAGAAACTCAGGCTTCACAGACTTCACGGTCCTACAAAGGTTCTGCCCACCAGAGCCCCCCACCTAGGACCATGCATCAGGGGGGCCCGGAGCAGCACCCCCTAGGCTGCACCCACCCAGTTGCTTCTCGCCCCGCCCCCCATCTCTGTTCAATGCTTGATTTTTTACGATCGATCTTATATCCGGCACAATCAGATTTATGGCTCCTGCATCTTATGAAATTACACAGATGTTGCTGCTCTGCCTCTCTCCAGGACAGTAAAAGGCAATAACGTTCTTGCAGATTTCGACAGCAGGCAATTCAATAAAGGGCCATGTATATTTTATAAGTACAATAAAGACAAGTCTCTGTGTGTGCCGCGGCCCGCCAGGGCCCCCGCACTGCATCGGGCAGCCACCGCGCCCCCCACGCCCCCCCCTTCCTGTCTGTTTGTCGATCAGCTCTCTCCCACCCGTCACACCACGGCCGGGGAGATTTATCCCCTTTCTGATCCATTATTTAGGTTTGGCTCCAGGGACCCTGCAATGGGGGCTGTTTAAAATTTAAAGGTGTTTGTGGAACTTAATACTTTCCTCCTCCTGATTTGCACTATAAAATTTTATCTATATTTTTGTTGCCCCATAAAACGTTTCTATCTTATCGGGATGGCTTGGCCTTTTATGGGCGAAACCATAAATACCGGATGAGGTGCAGGTTGGTGGAAGGTCTCCCCAGAATCCTGGGGGAGCTGGGAAGAGAGAACCCTCCTATCTCTCCTCTCAGTGTCCCGGATGCCGGGAGGCAGGATGGGGACCCATCTGCCTGGAGGTCTAGCTTCATTACCCATAAAGTAGAGACCCCAGAGCCCCCCAGCCCCCTGCAGCGCTTGCTTGGTGCCTAGTGCAGCATGTGCCCAGCTGTCCCCAAGGTGGGGGTTCTCCCATGCCAGACCCCCCTGCAAAGTTTCAGTAGGGGCTGGGAGATGTCTGTGCCCACTGACTGCACCCTCCCCACCCCCTGTCTCAGTGGTCTCATTTGTGAAAGGGAGGGTGGGGTTGGTGTGAGGAATAACTTAGCACCCCACAGAGTGATGGTTTTCTCCAAGTGCGTGTGGTGTTTTGTGATTGAGGCAGGTGCAGGGCGCAGGGGACAGTGCCCAGGGCCTGCCCTCCAGGAGGGAAGTAGGTATGTGTTGAGCCACAAGAGAGCCCAGCCCGAGCTCTACCCTCAAGGGGTGTTGCCGGTCTAGCTGGGGCAGCTGCTGACCTGGGAAGTGCAGGGTGGGTTTCTAGGGGGCTGGGGGCAGAGGGACAGCACAGTGGAGAGAGCATTTTCCTTGCACACAGCCGACCCGGGTTTGATTCCCACCATCCCATATGGTCCCCAAGCACCGCCAGGAGTAATTCCTGAGTGCAGATCCAGGAGTAACCCCTGAGCATTGCCGGGTGTGACACCCCCCAAAGAAAACAGCTGGGGGGGCTGTGCAGACTCAGACAGCAGTTCCAGGGAGTAGGTCTTGAGCTGGCCCAGGATGAGGGGTTCACTGGACTGTAGCACATGCCCAGAGGCCCACTTGAAGCCTTTGTCTCTGATTCTCTGATGGTCAAGCGAGAGAGACATGTGCCCAGCAGCCAGTGTGGACAGGAGGTGACAGGCTCCTGGGCTTGAGCTGGCGGGTTCTGGGGTTAGATGAGAGGTAAGGCTAGTGCCCAGGGTGCATGGGGGCCACCTCATGGGCTGCTGTTCGCTGCCCCCCCACCCTGGGGGGCTCCTGCCTTCCATGTGACTGCCTCCGGGGCTGATACCAGCCTTGACATGGTCCCTCCACACGTATGGGATGGGCAGACTGAAGCTTAACTGTGATGGTGTCACCAGAGACTACAGCTGACCTTACAGGCACCCCCAGCCTAGCTGCCCCTCTCCGGGACTGGGTGGGGACCACCAGCCGAGTGTCTGGGGGGATGCCTTCGGGGGGATTCGCTGTGTGTCAGCGGCCAGGTTGGCCCTTCCTTCCAGTCCCTGAGCTTCCGCTCTCTGAAGATGCAGGACAGGTGAGCGTTGGTGTGGGCATGGGGTGGGGGTGGGTCAACACATGAGGCATGCACTGTCGGCTTGGCTGTTGGCAGGGGTTGGTCGTGAACAGCACCGTGCAGAGGTGCGGAAGTCGGAAATGGCTGTTACAGAGTCTGGGGATCCTCAGAGTAAAGGGCTGGAGAGTTTGAGGGGGTCAGATCAAAGGACGAGTTTCCAGGTTTTGCAACGTGAGGTCCAAATCCCATCCCTGAGCACCTCCAGAAGCGACACCTGAGCACCTTGACTGGAGTGTCACCAAAACAACAACAAAATTATTAGAATTGTTGTATGTCCCAGCAATTGCCCTCCTGAGTCAATTCCCAGTGACCTGGAGACAGGCTTTGGATAGATATTCACACACTCCTCTTCATGTCCTCCAGTGATGGAAACAACCCCCAGTAATGTGGACACACTCCCAGGCCCCAACAGTGGACGAATCACATAGACTTACAGGAAGGTCATTCGGACCTACACCATCGGACAGATGAACCACGATGGCATTAGGTGGAATGTGACAGCACAAAATGGACAAAGCAGGATCCTCCCAGGATGGGAGATACATGCTGAGAGTAGACTATTGACTGAAGGTGATTGCCACGCAATGCCTCTTTTGCAAACCACAGCACTTAAAAGGAGAGAGAGAACAAAAGGAAATGCCCTGACGCAGAGGCAGGGTGGGATGGGGGGGTTGAAGGGGAGTGGGAGGGATACTAGGATCATTGATGGTGGAGAATGGGCACTGGTGGAGGGATGGGTACTCGATCATTGTATAACTGAAACCCAAGCACAACAATTTGTAAGTCTACAACTGTACCTCATGGTGTTTCACTAATAAAAATTTTTTAAAAATAAAAAAAAAAGGAGAAAGGAAAAAAAACCCAAAATGGACAAAGTGTCGGGGAGGTGGTTCAATGGTGGGGTTAAACCTGGGTTCCACCATGCATGTGTGTGTGTGTGTGTGTGTGTGTGTGTGTGTGTGTGTGCGTGGTATGATTCTGTTTATGTGAGGTCCCTCGGGCAGCCAAATGCACAGGTCTGGGAAGTAGAATGGAGACTGCAGAGAAGGTGGGCTGCCATTGAACGGAGCAGTTCGCATTTTACAAGATGAAGAGTGTCTGAAAGGGAGACACATAATACTGTCCCTGTGCCACTGACCTATACACTTCTCACAGCCAGACTGTCCGTGTCTGGCACCCCATGACCCCCCAGCACTGAGCCGCAAGTACTGAGTGTGGCTGGACATGGTCCAGAGAATGAATGAATGAATGAATGGACTAAATCACACAGGGTCTGGTGGTTGCAGGAGGAGGGCTGGGCTGAAGAGCAGTGTCCACCCACACAGCTGTCTGCCCGCGATAGACCAGCAAGTTTTTCTTGGCACTTAGGTTTTATTTTTTTGGTGTGTGTATGGGGGCGGGGGTCATATCCGGCAGTGCTCAGGGCTGATTCTCCTAGACCTGTGCTCAGGGATCATTCCTGGTGGAACTCAAGGCACCATCTGGGATACAGAGTGTTGAACCCAGGCCGGTGCGTGCAAGGCAAGCGCCCTCCCTGCTGTGCTACAGCTCAGCCCCCTGCATAGCTCTGAGGATCTCAGGGCTGCAGAGAATTGACTCAGGTTCTCCCGAGCCTCACCCTGGTCAGTTGGCGGCAGGTGGCCGCCATGTGGTCAGGCAGGTGATGGCAGACAGGAGTGATGGGAGAGACCCCTCGACCCTCCATTCCTGGGGCTGGTCAACATGGCTCAGCTCTCTAGATTCTTAGCACCCCCACACCCCAACCTAGACTGTTTGCTGGGGTCTCCTTTAAGTTAGCACCAACAAACACCCTCTTTTGCTTCAACTAGCAGTTAAAATATATATATATGTATATATATATATATATATCTTTTAGAGATGGGAGAGAAAGTACAGACTGGAGGGCTCTTTTTTTGAGGGGGGAGGGCTTTTTGATCACACCCAGAGATGCTCAGGGGTTACTCCTGGCTCTGCACTCAGGAATTTCTCCTGGCACTTCTCAGGGGACCCCATGGGATGCTGGGGATCAAATCCAGGTCATCCACATGCAAGACAAACACCTCCCTGCTGTCCTATCACTCTGGCCAAAGGCTCTTGCCATTTTACCCAGCCATCCCTGGGTTCAATCTCTGGTACCTTATACGGCCCCTGAGCACTGCCAGGAGTGATCCCGTAGCACAGAGCCAGAAGTTAGTCCTGCCTGAGCACAGCTGGGCATGGCCCAGGAACAGCAATGAATGTCATAATTCCCTTTTACCAAACCCAAGGAGGGTTTGTTGGGACTGGAGGAAGGGAACGCATGCAACCCTAAAAAGGGGGATGGATGTGTTCCTGTCCAGAGCCCTCCCTTGGGTTTCCCCACACTGAACTGATGAGGGGCTGTGGGGTGGTCAACACCAGACACAAGCCAAGGGCCCCCCGACTCCAGCCTTCGACGTCACCCTTTTGCTGAATGTTCTGTTTCCAGAGGCAGGAAATCTGTTTTGCTGGCAGAGCC